ATGGATATGATCCTATCACTTACAGCATTGTACCTCATGACTGATCTGGATATGTTCTTTTTGACGATGAATGCAACACCATTCCTTTTCAATTTGTTATTCCCTGCATAGTAAACCATGTGGTTGTCAGATTCAAAATGGCCAATACCAGTCCATTTCAGCTCACTAATACCTAAGATATCGATGTTGATGTGTTCCATTTCATTGTTGACAACTTCCAATTTTCCCAGATTCATACTTTGTATATTCCATGTTCCGATTTTCAATGAATATTTACAGCTGTTTCTCTTCATTTTGAGTTGTGGCCCATCAGCAAATGAAGGTTCTGTGCGCTTTTTTCCCCCGAGCTTAACTCTATTTACATCATCATGGTCAACTCTCCTTTGAGGAGGCATTTTGTTTCCCAGTGGCATTTTGAGGGCCTTCCCAACTTCCAGTCCTGTATCTGACAGTGTTTCTCTGCTATTCAGAGAGTTTTCAGTGACTATCAATTTGGAAGTAGTTCGTCACTCTTTCTTCCTAGCCTGTCTTTGTCTGGCAGCTCATCTGAAACCTGTCTAACATGGGTGACCCTTCTGGTTATTTAAAATACCGGAGGAGCCCTCAGAATCACAGTAACTCAATTCACCACAGTAAGACAGACAGACGAGCGGTAGCCATTTGGTTTTATGTCGCGATACTGTCACTTTAAATTTCTATGTTAATTTTGATATAATCCTGATTTAATCAAGATACAATCAAGATATTCTCTCCCAAGATGAATACCAAAAGAATACCAAGCCTAAAAAAGACAATTCATATTTAAATAGTTTTAAGTGTCACTGTGTCTGTTCTGATTCATAGTGACCCTATGCACAACCAAACAAAACATTGCCTGGTCCTAGGTCCATCCTCACAATTATTGTTGTATTTGAGACCATTGTTGCTGCCACTGTGCCAATCCATCTTGTTGAGGATCTTCCTCATTTTTGCTTACCTCCGCTTTTCCAAGCATGATACCCTTCTCCACGGATTGATCCTTCCTGACAACATGTCCAAGTAAGAAAGACAAAGTCTTATTGCCTGGCTTCTAAGGAGCATTCTGGCTGTACTTCCATGACAGATTTGTTTGTTCTTCTGGCAGTCCATGGTACTTTCAATGTTCTTTGTCCACAAATGCATCGATTCTTCTAAGGTCTTCCTTATTCATTTCCAACTTTCACATGCTTATGAGGCTACTGAAAATACCATGGCTTGGGTCAGGTGCATCTTAATCCTAACACTGACACCTTTGCTCTTAAACACTTTAAAGATCCAAGCAGACTGAAGTCTTTGACAATTTCTATCTTTTTCCATTCATCATGATGTTATTTATTGGTCCAGTTGTGAGGATTTTCGTTTTCTTCACAGTGAGGCACAATCCACACTGAAGGCTGTAGCCTTTGATCTTCATCAGTATTTCACTACTCTTCGCTTTCAATAGGACTCTGGGTGTGGCACTGTAGGAAAAGCACTGGACTGAAAATGACAAGTTCAGCAGTTAACTCACCAGCTGCTCCTCAGAAATCCTGTATAAGGTCACTAAGAGTTGGAATTGATTTGACAGCACTTAACTACTACTGACTTTCAGTAAGCAAGGTTGTGTCATCTGCATATTGCAGGTTGTTACTGAGTCTTCTTCCATTCTTGATGACACCTTCTTCATATAATCCAGCTTTTCAGATTATTTGCTCAGCATACAGATTAAATAAGTATGGAGAGAGTATACAATCTTGAAGCGCCCCTTTCTTAATTTTAAACCATTAAGTATTCCCTGTTCTGTCTGAACAACTTCCTTTTTGTCTATGTACAGGTTCCTAATGAGCACAATTAAGTGTTCTGGAATACCCATTCTTCACAATGCTTTCCCCATAGTTTGTTATGATTCACACAAATACCTTTGCATAGTCAATAAAAGCCCAAGTAAACATCTTTCT